TACGACGTCATGCCCAGTATATAAGCTGGGGGGAGTTGGCCGGGGGGCAGCCATCGCTGCTCGGGGACTGGCCGGGTATTGGTTGGCGGGTGGTGAGCAGTTGCATCACTTGTTTTTCCTGGGTTTTGCTCCTCTCTCTCTCTTTTGTTGTTTTCCTTTTCATTACAATTTATTATTACTATTTTATTTCAATTATTAAAGCTGTTCTATCTCAACCCAGGCGTTTTCTTAGTTTTGCTCTTCTGATTCTCTCCCCCATCCCACCGGGGGTGGGGGAGGATGAGCCAGCAGCTGTGTGGTGCTTGGTTGCCGACTGGGGTTAAACCACAACAGCATAAAAACAGATAAGATTTATAAGTTCCTTACGCTGGTCTAGCACCAGGCAAACACTAAGCAAGAGATAAGGAGTTGCTTCTCAGTCTCGTGTTCAGCAGGCCTGGGAAAAATACATTTTTTTTTCCTTGAATGACATCAGCTTTGCCTACAGGGTTAATGGTGCAGTCTATCTGCAGCATTGGCAGAAGACTACCTGAAGGTTTATCCCTTTCCCACATGCCCGAAGAGGAGCTTGTTACAAGAGAAGTGAGCGTCCTTTAAGGACAGCAGGAGAAATCCCGACACAAGCGCCTGATTTTTTGCTTCATAGTCTGAAGATCTTACTCAATTAAAACTAATCAGACCCGAACCAATCCAATACTAGGTTTCAGAAAATTCTAATGACAGCCTGTAATTTCCCATTTTCCACAGAGTTCACCAATCACAGTATCTCTCTCCTGTTCAGCTTTTCAGATGTATTAGTCCCTGCAGTATGTATGCAGTTAAGTGTTTTGATATCAATACCTTTAAGAGGAGCCTTGTTTCTGTCCAAAAGGGCTACACTTTCTCCTCTCCACGATACTGATTTATTACTAAGAGTAGACAGGAAAAGAATCAGAACAGTCCTCCACTAAATCCAAAACAATTGCTAAGGATAAAGGACTAAGACGAAGATATTTAGGCACTAAAGCATACGGTGCAACTCTAACCTTCCACTGGACCAGGGGTGTAATTTGGAATTCTCTTCACCTGTCAGGTTGAAGACGTTAATTCTAAAAAGGGATTAGTTCATCTGAACCAATAATAAAAAAAAATCCTTCCCCCTGCAGAGCATTAACAGCGCATTAACGGTTGATTTGTTATGCCTGGCAAATTGTTTGCTGTCCTTTTCTTCTACTTGACACAAAGCCCTGCAGAAAGTGAGCATGAACACAACGAGCATATCCCTGTCTAATTAAGGGGAGGCTGAAAGAGCCAGGGGAGATTTCAGCAGGAAGCATGCTGGAATGAGCACATGGATACCCTTGCAGCCCCCCCACTGCAGCAGGAGATATTAAGACGGAATGTGATGCTTGTTTTGATAGCGCCTGCCCAGCTTCATCATCGAAGCTTCATTACTGTCTGCAAGAAAAGAAAAATTACTCTAGAGGTACAAAATCAGGAAAGACTTTTGCATCTGATTTCTGCCTATGAGCAGCAACTCAAGGTCAAATGAATAAGCCATCCAGGTTGGTATCTTGTCCTGTACATATGAGATGTATAGCCAAGACTTCTGTATAGGGCTGTGATCAGAAGACAGAATTACATAGGAACTCCTCCTCATCTACATTTGAAGTGCTAGCTTAGGTGATAGTCCTTCCTTCCTGACCTCCGCGGAATCAACAGACACCACAGCATATACAGCCAACCCTACATCTTACCCAAGCCTAACAATCAAAGCTATTAATGGCTGAGCAATTATTTCCTCTAAAACCCAGCCAAAGCAGAAGACCCACTGACTTGTCGGAGCAATGTATTGTACAGGATCACCACGCGTTGAGAATTATCTGTGGTCCCACCCTGCAGCTCAGAAAATTATAGCTTGTTTTCTATTACTTGTCCCACTTCATCTGTTCTGCTATTGCTTTTTGTAAAAGGTCCCTATTGAGACAGGTACCTATTACTTTTCCTGTGACTTTAGCCTCATACTATTAATTCTCTCAGTTTGCCAACACCGACTGCCTTATCTTCTGCCTTCTCTTTCTCCTTTTCACATCCTTTCCCCATACCACACTAATTGGGCAAAGGATTCAAAGATGCCATCTTAAATGTCTGCATTCACCTGTTGTCCTTGAGTGACTCAGTTTTTGTATGCATCTCTAACTGCCTGCCTAATTACCTATCTGCACATGCACAGATGGGCCACCAGAGTTCAACCTCCGAAGGCTCACTAGAAGTGCCTCGACTGGAAGAATTATCTTCCAGCACTCGAAGAGAGCTGCACCCCCTGGGTGAACTTGGCAGGTGAAGTAACAGGAGCATGAACCTCAACGCTGGATGAGGACTGTGAACCCCGTCTGTAATCAAATGAACCGAAATGGGTATAGATTGGAACTGGAAGTTATACTTGCGCCCGCGCCAGCACTTGGGGAACAGCTATTCCCATTTAGCCTCAGATCAGTTAGAGTGAGATGGAAGTGCTACCCAGGGATTTTATCCTACCGTGGGGAGTAAGCACAGTTCAGCCTTTGAGATTTGTTTTCTGACAGACTCTCTTCCTGAAGTGAAATAGCCCTAAATAGTGTAGAGGCTGAGGCTGTAATGAGCTATAGTACAGCAGGGTTTTAGAGATAGCTGGAGAACGATAAGATCCAATCCCTGGTGTCAGTGAGATAAAGTGGTTTATCTGGGCTTCCACACAGGGGAGAGCTAGCTGCTAGACCTAGCTGAAAGATAGGGGGCTGGCAACCAGGGAGATTACAACAAGAGATAAGACTCACTGGGTTTTCTGTTTACAAAGCCAGCTGTGCTAAAGCAGAATGCGCTCCCCAGGAAAAACAGTTATTCAAAACGATATACAGACCCACTAACCTGAAAGAGGGGAGGGAGAATCCAGCTGTTGGACAAGCTGTGGGAGAGGCAATTCAACCTTGTCCTCCTCGGGTCCCCACCTGCTCTTCCGCTTCTTTTTAGTAGTGCCTGTAGCAGTAGCTGTAGCTGTTGTTGCAGCAGAAGTTGTAGCTGTCTGATCAGGTGGAGTTGTAGACGATGATGGTGAAGGTGAGGGCAAGGGTGAGGGCACGGGCAAGGGCAAAGGCGAGGGCACAGGCAAGGGCAAAGGCGAGGGCACGGGCAAGGGCAGGGGCAAAGGCAAAGGTGAGGGCAAGGGCAAAGGCAAAGATGATAAGCACAAAGGCGACGGTGATGCCTCGGGACTGGTCTTCCTTTTCAGACTGGACTCTACAGGCAAGGGGGCACACACAGTGCTGGTTTTGGCCTTACGGAACTCCTCCAGTTTCTGCCGGTAATACTTGTAGCCTTTGCTGTTTGGCTCATATAAAAACCTATAAAGAAAAAGAAAAAAAAAAAAGTAAGTTTCGATGTAACAGTCATATGCAGGGGGTTGGACGTAGCACAGTTTGGTCAGGGCTTTTCTTTTCTGCAACGCTCTTGCACAACCAGCCTTCCCACACACTTCCTTGCTCTCCAGCACCATCCTGTGTGTATGTGCATGCAACGCAGGGCTCCGCGTGCTCTTGCAAGGTAGGCTGCAAGCCTTTGGGATCAGGAAGCGTATTTCCCATTCATGAGCAAACCACAGCTATTTTTGGTGCCAAATAAACACACAGTACTAAAAAGGATCATGTTACATTTGTGGAAACGCAAGGTCCTCCCCCAGAATTCACCTGCCTTCCAGAACACGTTTGGAAAAACTGCAAGGGCTCCACAACACATCGGGTTTCAGTTCACAGAAGCAAACAAACATTCACATCTTACCAACGGGAATGCCAAACCACTGCCTAAAGAAACGGCTCCCAAGCTCTCTATTCAAGCTGGAAGCATTGACATTACCAGTCTGCTTAATTACACAGTGACTCCTCCTTCTGTTCCCTCATACACAAAAAACATTGCTTTATTTGCTACCCCTTCCGGAAATAGGCATCTCTGACCTTTTGGGTAAAATAAAACTCCCTAGTCTCTGTGGGAAGAACATGAACAAGCCTCAGTCTAGCAGCTATGCAAAAAAAAAAAAAAAAAGCATCAATATAGTCATGTTTGGGAAAAACACGTTACCTTTTTGGGCTCCCCCCAATTTAAGCTGGAAGCATTGACATTACCAGTCTGCTTAATTACACAGTGACTCCTCCTTCTGTTCCCTCATACACAAAAAACATTGCTTTATTTGCTACCCCTTCCGGAAATAGGCATCTCTGACCTTTTGGGTAAAATAAAACTCCCTAGTCTCTGTGGGAAGAACATGAACAAGCCTCAGTCTAGCAGCTATGCAAAAAAAAAAAAAAAAGCATCAATATAGTCATGTTTGGTACAAACACGTTACCTTTTTGGGCTCCCTCCAATTTAAATACTTCACACAGAAAACTTGTCTATTCCTAACTCCTCTACAGTCTTCTCTTTTTAGAGGACCAGTTTAATACTTGACATAACCTCTCCTCGGGATAGTGCCCGCTCCCCCGAGAAAACATAAGAGATGACAGGCCTTTCCCATCTACCACTGCACAACATGCACAGGCGAACACAAACAGCTCTCTGACGTATTTTAAAATTCACTAAATGTGGTCCTGCATCCCTCCATTTGAATAACAGCACTAAGGATTGCTTCAGGACCAAGCAGAGGGCAGGATGGGGCCCTCCCTGTGGCAAACCTGATGAAATCGTAACAAAGGAGATGGTGTTTAACTTGATCGTGCTCGGGTGGGATCACAGCGGTGTTTTAAAGTAAATAATGAAACAGCTCAGGTGTTAGCACATCTGTCTAATGTAATTCACAACACAAGGGGAGTACCCCAGAGGGCCAGAAGGCAGCCAATGAAGTGCCAAAATATCAGCAACAAAACAAGGCCTGCCGAGCCCCACTTCACTTCCAGAGAACACACCAAATTGTTTGTAAGAGCAGAAAAATGAAACATGGATGAGACCAAAGGGAGGCATTAAACAGCTGTCAGTGAGCACTGAAGAGAACAATTCACATCTGAAAGGCTGAAAAAGATATTCCAAAGGAGGACCTAATGGTGAAGGAATGCTACCTGTACGTTAGTGAAGATGCTGCGTAAAGGAAATTAACTGGACAACAGCAGTATGAGTGGTGGATGGGGGCCCACATCAAAACACAGCTATAGGGAAAAAGTCAGAATTATACTAGTACATTGCAACAGAAAGCAGGTGAGGAGGGGTGGAAGTCGTAAATTAATTTTGGGGAAAGCAAATCGGTTTCTCTCTCTCTCTGTGCCTTGCTTTAAACTGTGAAGCTTGAGAATGTAAAAGTATCAGTGCTATGTAAGTGCACTGTCCTTGTAACTTCAGACGTATCACAAGCTTGTCTATTGTTTCCCCTTAAAAATAAAAAAAAAAAAGAGACCCATCCAAGCCCCCCCCATATTACACTCAGCAGCCGGTTTCTTCCCTTACCTGAAAGCATGGTTCTCTCGGTTGTTCTGCAAGGCAATAGCTTCCACCTCGGGACCCCCGTCTGCTATGAACCTGGCCAGTTTCTCAGCAGAGTTCTTTGTCTCTTCGTCGTCTGGGGGTGAAACTTTAAGCAGGCTGTCAGTACTGGGCCCAACTCACACAAGCAACAGTCAAAGCCTATCTGTTCTAAGAACCCCAAGAGCAGAATAAGGGCAAAAGGTCGAGTTTAATTTTTAGAAATATTACACATAAACAGTCATAGAGTTTATATCACAAAAACATGATATTGCATAAGGTTGTACAACAACTTTGTAACCAGAGGAGTGCCCATTCACACATCAGCTTCCTCTGCGCCAGGAGCTAGATGAGAGCAGATTAACAGACAAGCCAGCTTTTGACTTCAAAGATGGACACTTCTTTCTCTCTGCTGCAGAGGAAGTCTGTTTCTTCCTCGCGTCAGGCACTTTTCCATAGGGTTACACCTCAGCACTCGCCATTATCTCTAGTTAAAGACTTTGCCACTGACGTCCCCAGGAGCAAAGGGAAGGCCTTAGAAAAAGTGGCAGACTAATACCGCACCGTAATCCCACTTGTACCTACTGTCCCTACACATCTGCTGGCCGTTTTAGGGGAGGGTTGTAGGACAGAGGAAATTCTCCATAGAACAGTCCCCATCCTCACCTGGAAGAGATGGCTACTGCAGCCTTAGTCCAAAGGCACAGAGAAGGCTCTGATCATTAATATTTCAAGCATATTTGATGTTTATAAGGAGCCAGGCAAAGACGTTATTTAGCCACGACAGCCTTATATGACATTTGCTACCTGCACAGTACCAGTGCCAGTACTCCAGTGTGCTGGCACAGGACCAGGAGGCAGAAGACATGATTATAAGCCATGGACAAGTCATAACCTTTCCTTGCTTCAGTATTCCACACCTGTAAAGTATGGATAATACTGCTTAGCTTCCAAACTGTTGTATCAGTTAGTCGATATTGGTAACAAGCTCTTTCAGCCTACAGTCTATTAAACCACGATTTGTTTGAGCTGTTAGCTCATCAGCATGACAGCTAAATTGCATTAACACTCCTTTCCACAGCAAAGGAAGCTGACATAGAGAGGCTGAGTGATTCGCCAGGGCCACACGCAGGCCTGAAACAGAGGCTGGACCAGAAGCGATAAATGCCTGGCCCGCAAGACCACACTTCACCCACTAAATAATTTCTGTCTCTTAACACAGTTAACCAGATTCCACTGCTCGCACCACCTGTCTGTTGGCAGATCACCCACTTCTGCTGTTTTTCCACCTGAAAACACAGTCCCTTACTTGCAAGGATTTATGTCCCAAGCAGAAAAGAAAAGCTCCAGTTAGGGGAATGGCAGCAGAAATGGGGATTATGTTTGACAAACCAACCAACCATTTTCATTGATAACAAACCAACAACAAACCAACCATTTTCATTGATAACAAACCAAATAAGAACATCTGAGAAAAAGCACTTTTCCTAAAAGCGTTTTCAGGGCTGAAACACTTTCCAGAACACACACGATGGAAAATCGTTTCAGTTCACTTTGTTAAGGATTTTGGAGAAATACAAGGAAAATCTCTTTCAAGAGCCCTTTACATAGAGCATGTTACAGCATGCCGTGGGCTTGGGAAACAACCGTTTTGACACTAGAGCTTGATGCCATCATGGTGATGTTTCATCACCATCTCCTTCCATTTTGAAATTTCATTTACCGGCAGCAGATTGACAGCCAAATATCCACTCCAACTGTTTCCAGAACAGACCTAACAAGCAGTTACAGAGAGAGTGAAGAAGTCAAATTTGACTTATGCAGTTCATATTCTCCAGATCCCAGTCTTAATTACCTTTCTGAGAAGAGGATGCCTGAGAACTTTGATTCTCTTTTCTTATCTCTGCCACTTTCTTTCTGTAGTAAAGGAATTCTCTGCTGTTCTTATCATGCAAAAACCTAGGGTGGAGATGGAGGAAAAAAGGGCAAAAAATATGCATCAGCAACAACTATACACAGACATTGATACTTTGGGATATAAATAGCTCAAAACCACAAAAATACAAAACAGATAAATTACTCAGAATGCACTTAAAACGTGGACTACAAAGTCTTCAGCTTGTGTAAATACACATAGCTTTAATCTAAGAACTTGCATCCAAATTTTTTGCGTCACTTGAAGGGAAATAAATAACAGCATCCTCTGATACAGGAGGGAATCCTCCGTCCACAGCCACAGAGCATATCAATGGCAGAGGAGACAGAACCAGCCCCGAGATCGAGTCCAGGATACCCATACGCGAGATGTTGTACAGGCAGCCAGACCTCCCAGGCCGTATTCCTAACTCTAGCTGATCTGCCTCCTCAGCACCATCACAGTATCACTTTCTGCCTCAGTTTCCCCAGCTATAAAACAATTACTCACAGCAAAGCTCAAATCTACCAAACGATAATTAAACCAAACACATCCCCGAGAACTATATGCACAAGGCTGATGTTTTTCTCCTACAAAGAGACAGTGTTCTGCTTTGGAAGACAAGAGTTATCACCACACTTACGAAAAAGCTGGGTTATCCTTGTAGTCTTCCATAGCGACCTTCTCTAATTCTGGTCCCCCTTCAGCCACGAACCTAGCCAGCTTTTCCACCACTTGTCGGGTCTCCGCATCCTCTGGGGGTAAAACTTTAAGCAGGCTGTCAGTACTGGGGTTCAACTCACACACCAAACAGGCAACAGGTACATTACTTCTAAGAACCACGGCGGCAGACAAAAGTAGAACGGGAATGGAAAGAAAAAGGATGAAATGGGGGATCCAGTCTTACACAGCTGTACAAATTACAATCCCTAGGTTACTGTCAGCCTCTGCACTCCCCTAGTAGGAAGTTAATATTTTGTCTAGATTTTTCCTACAAGGAAAAGCCCACGATTCGGATCACCAAGGTTTAGGGTGCAACTTCAGTTGCAACATAATTTGCTTCTGACAATTCTACTCCATACAAAACACGATGGGGAGGAACAGGAATTTAGTTTTAACAACCACATTACTTACTAAAGATTACAGATTCCAGTCCCCAAGACATCGCTCTGTACCCAGATAGCAGAGACAGATTGTGTAGCCAGAGCACATAGTTCTTCCTACTGGCATATGCCCATGTCTCAGCCCTCGCTTGGAGGGAATCCCACCAGAGACAAGAGGAGAGCTCAGTCTCCAAGAAACTGTATTTTGGCTTCTGTGCCAAGAAAGGAACCCACTAACACTGACAGTGATTACAGAGCTGATGCAGGACACATTCAATGGGAACTAGACACAGGCGTTTGTCTAGACAACAATATTTTGGGTAGGGTGCTGAACAAAGAGCACACAGGAGCAGAGCTGTCCACGCTCGATCTAGACTAGATTCGAACCCACGATCTTTAAATTAAGGGTCCGCATTCCGTCTTTGCTCCCTGCAGCCAGTGGCTACTTCTCACATTCCTGCAGTGCATTTCATGCTGAAGTTCAGACTTGCTAAGATTATGCTTTTATAAATCCCACCAGAAACAGCTAGACATGTTTTTTGTAAATATATAATGAAATAAATTATGACACAAAGCTTAGTGTGCCTTATTTAGCAACTCCAATCTAATTTTATACTTGATTAATATACGCGCATGAAATTCAGATTATTAAGCAAATCTGCCTTCTGGCCTCCTAACCCAGGTTATCCAGAGAAACTTGGTTATTTAAGTGCTGCAATATTCTTCATTGGTTTTCTATCCTACTTAAAGCAGTCAGGACCTAGAGGTGAGATTTTCTAATGAAACTTTGAGAAGAGGCAGGAACTTTGATTTTACCTGGTCATAGTTCCATGCCTTACACGTAATCTTATTTATTAACACATACAATTTTTCCCCCTACGCAGCCACACCCAAACCGAGGACTTTTCATTTTCTATCATTCAAATAAACTAAAATTCCATTTTAAATACAAGCATTATATCTATATATGTTCTAGAGAACTCAGCACTAGCCATAACAGATTTCAATTGTACAAAAGCAGAATTATTATGATTAGCAAACAATCAAGCTCCATTAAAAGCACAATGTATTTCTTCTCTACGCATTATTTTTTCCACAGAGACTTATAGGCTGGTCAAGCGCTTGCCTTGATAACTCAAATAAATCTAGGCACAAACCAGACCCCGTCTAACTATGGTGAGTGACCCATCTCCCATACCGAGTCCAGGCTGGATAAGTAATATCTAACAGCATTCAGTCCTCAGCTTTTCTGCTGAAGCTGGCTTTGGAGGAGTCCACCAGCATTAACTGGTGTCGTTTATATTTCATGACGCAGAAGTCTGCACGCAGGAACTGCGCTAAGAATACCAATTCACGGCGTAAGGAAAAAAACCCAACCCTCTACCGGGGAGAAGGTCCTCCTATCACTAGGGCAAGCGGGCCCGCACCCCAAAACAATGTAGCACAAGGTGTCATTTACCTTTAATTTCCAACCACTGCTCATAATCTTCCTCCTCATCTTCATCTGGCGACTGAAACACACTGAGGCGGTTAACGACTGGGGTCTGTTTGGAATGGGAGTAGTTCTTCGCTTGGTGCAGCATGCTGCTCAGGACCTGACCAGGGCGCTTCCCAAACAGCATAGGTTTCTTCCCAGCATTTGTTGCAGAAGTGTTTGCCGAGTTACTAGTAGAACTTGGGGGAGGTTCTTAGAAAAGAATGAGGGGAAAATAATTCCTGTGCATCCTTACTGTTTTAATCTCAGAAGGTTACAAATAACAACTCAGGCAGTAATACAGCTGCAATAGGCCGTTATTTTCAGAGTAAGTTAAAGACACCGACTGGTAAAAGCTGCATAATGAAATGAAAGCTGTGATGATTTTTACAAAGCGAGTTTCAAGCTAGAAGAGAGATGGATGCTTGTTTTACAGCACCTATAGAGGGAAAGAGGGCAAACCTCCCTATCGCATCTTGAGGAAAGACTTTAATCCAAATTTAAAGGGGTCATCGCTGCTTTAGAACTTACTCGTACTGGTAACAGCTCATAGCAGGGTTTCTAAAGTGAACATACATGGAGGCAGCTCACACAAAGCTGGTACCACCAGGAGAAGGAAGGCCTCCTGTTGCTCATAAGTCGACCTACCAGTACTTGACTTTTCCTTCTGCAGCTTGAGAAACTGCTGGAGGAAACTGCCATCATTAACAAACTTGTTGGAAACACAGGCTTCATTGTCAGTACCGTCATCTCTGAATAGAAAAAGAAAAGTAGGTGATGGTACTCATCATCCTCCCCAGCCCCCTCACACGCATTTATTTTGAACAGAAAACATGACAAATGCTAATGACTGCTAATCTCTCTCATCTACGCTGAAAACACACCCAGCTTTTCAAAAGCACAAGAACCATTCAGCTTGCTGCTTACAGCATTTACCCCAGCTCTCCACCTGGCTCCTTTACTACCCCACTGAAACAGGGTTTCTACTTGCTCTGTTACGCTACTCTGCTTCCAGGAACCCCCGGCAAGCATTTAACTGTAGAGCTGTGCTAACTCTTAAGAGTCGCGATTATAAGAAAGGTAACAAATAGGAAGCAGAAATAAAGTGTAACAATACTCTTGAAAATATACGATTGCTGTTAGCACATATCTGTTCACTCTAGCATCCGAAAAATCTGACTAGGTCAATTAGAGCGCAAGTACCCTACTCCAACCTTTAGTTACTCAATTATCAATTTCAACTTTCTCAGTATTTGCCTCCAAGCGCAAGAGCTTTGTAAAGCTTGTCTCTTCAGCGTCATTTGACAGACAAGCCCGTCTTCTGCCAGCGAAGCTCCCGTCTAAAAGCACCGTAACGCACACGTACTCTCCAAACAGAGGCAGCTGCTGTATGCTCAGGTAATTCTGTCTCGCTTGCTGCTCCAGCCTGGCCTCAATTTCTCTCTTTTTCTGCGCTATCAGCTCCTCTTGGTGAAGGATATTCACGTTCGTCTTGGCCGATTTAGACTGCGCGACCCCAAACCACCGGCTCGCTTTCCCTGAGGGAAAAGGG